AATTACCCAAAGTTACTCCATTCTAACTACATCTTAAGTCTAACCATATGAAAGAGACAACCTTTCTGAAAATGTTTGAATCACACAACAAGCTCTGAAGTTTAAATGCATGTGATAGGCGACGTATTGTGGTCAGACTCGCTGACTTGGTTCATCAATTCCATCGTATCCCAACTGCGTAGATCGATGCTCATGATATCAATCATGACTCGATTTATTTACATATGGCTGTACTATTGCAGAGTACGGCGTTAAAAAGAAATATATAAACATACAAAATTGCCACAAATGACTTAACAGTTACAGATTATGACTCACGAGTTAGGTGTTCAGGTGTCGGTGTAGAAGTCGACGTAGGAGGGATGTGGTCAACGTGGCAGCCGTCTGAAGACTGACGTCTAGTCAATAGTTCAAACATTTTATACTTATAAATTTGGTCAAATATAGAACCAACGTCTGGAAATTGTCCAAGGAACTGTTGAACTAAAATAAGTCCACGTCAAGAAGAATAACAAGCTGATTCACGCCGATTCCATGTAGCCACGCCCCCTTTACACACTCTCATAATCTCTCTCCGAACACGTGACTGTAGATAGAACTGTGGTGACGGCAATCAGGGTCGATCATTGAATCAGTCATCTGATAGATCGATATCACATGTGAACATTCGAAGCTATACTTGGCTCATCGAAGCCCCGCCATGTTTACAATGGTTTTGTAGCATATGCGGGAGGAGCCTTCCTGACTGTGGACGGCCAATGTGTCTGTCACAATTATGTCGTCTCAAACAGCTATAGGTTCCAGTCACGCATGATCTCGCTTTGACAAGCTTTGTAATACTTCTGAAGTTCTCCTGTACGATCTTGTTCTGATCAGAAACTCTGTTCCTCCATAATGTATTGCTTCTCTTACACAATTGCATGAAGACTGAATCGGAGTCGCCTCCGGATTGTGGATGTGATGACTTTAACACTGTTTCGTGGCTTGTAAATCTATCGAAAATATAAAAAATGTAGACTCAGGTAGATACTGTTGAAGTCAGGCAGCTCTCCTACAAGTAGTCCCGTGTATTGCCCCCGTCTCACCCTCTCACCTATTCAACGGGGTGTCGGGTAGCCTAGTGGTTAAAGCGTTCGCTCGTCGCGCCGAAGACCTGGGTTCGATTCCCGACATGGGTACAATGTCTGAATCCCATTTCTGGTGTCCCAACCGTGGTATTGCTGGAATATTGCTAAAAGCGGCGTAAAACAATATTCACTCACTCACCCATTCCTCCCACATCCTCACCCCTGCCTGCTCACCATTAGCTGTGGTCAAGTGGATCCTTGGCTGTGCAGGTTTACCCACGTCAGCAACCTCGGATCATATTCCAATCGGTCCGGGAATTTTTCAGATTATCAGAAATTCCAATGTTAAATGCCCAAATAGTTACATCATAGTGTCAGTTACAGGGGAACCTCATTTCATATGAGGGGGCACGGGTGGCCCAGTCGTCTAAAGCGCCGCGATTCGCTCCGCAGAGTTGCGTCCCTTTGGCACGCCAGAAACCTATGATTGTGGGTTCGAATCACGGTTCACGAGTATGTTTCTAGGTTTGTCAGCACCATACCCGTGCTCGTGGGTTTCACCGAAGTGGTAAACGTCTGAGACCTGCATCACTTCGGGTTTTCCTCCCACATTAAGCTGACACGCCGTGATATAACTGGAATACTGTTAAAAGCGGCGTTAAACCCAACTCACTAACTCACTCACTCACTCATTGACCCTGTGTATGTTTCGCATATCATAAACTTGATATGTATAAGTTGTGATATACAGACAATATTAGCCGGGTTTGTATTCGTAACGTAAATATTATCCATTAGGAATAACAACTGCATATATTCAACATATATTCTTGATATATGATATTTATAATACGGAAAGACGAGAGTACTAATATTCTGGTCACAGACTGAGAAAATAGTCGATGTTTACGACGTATGACTTCACTCAATAATCGCATCTATGACGCTATAAATTATATCATGACACGAACCGTTTGTTTCAATCCCAGAAAGCATCATCATGTTCACTTGGGGTGTGTCCTCTCTTGACCTCAGACATCAAACTGAGCACGTCATGTGACGTAATGAAGGCAACAGTTGCTGGCTGTGTACGGAGGGCCATGCCCCCTGTGCTTATGTTGTAGACAGTTTTCCAGAAAGGTTAATCTTTCATATTTTGATTGTTAGAGATGGTTAGTCTCTTGATACACAGTTATCTTTTAAAAATAACCATATATGAACCACTGTCGATATCGATATTTAAATTGCACATTAATATTGTTTGTGTTATGAGATACAAAAACAGTTGTATATACTATCATCTGGAGGTTTGTTTGTTTGTTTGTTGTTTAAAGCCGCACTCAGCAATATTCCACTAATATGACGGCTGTCTCTAAATATTCGAATCTGGACCAGATAATCCAGTGATTGACACCATGAACATCTGTAACGTCTACGGACCTGGTGCACACAGCACTCCTGCCATGCAACGGCGGCCTGTAACGTCTACGGACCTGGTGCACACAGCACTCCCGCCATGCAACGGCGGCCTGTAACGTCTACGGACCTGGTGCACACAGCACTCCTGCCATACGACGGCGGCCTGTAACGTCTACGGACCTGGTGCACACAGTACTCCTGTCATGCAACGGCGGCCTGTAACGTCTACGGACTTGACTCCTGCCATGCAACGGCGCCTGTAACGTCTACGGACCTGGTGCACACAACACTCCTGCCATGCAACGGCGGCCTGTAACGTCTACGGACCTGGTGCACACAGCACTCCTGCCATACGACGGCGGCCTGTAACGTCTACGGACCTGGTGCACACAGTACTCCTGTCATGCAACGGCGGCCTGTAACGTCTACGGACTTGACTCCTGCCATGCAACGGCGCCTGTAACGTCTACGGACCTGGAGCACACAGCACTCCAGCCATGCAACGGCGACCTGTAACGTCTACGGATCTGGTGCACACAACACTCCTGCCATGCAACGGCGGCCTGTAACGTCTACGGACCTGGTGCACACAGCACTCCAGCCATGCAACGGCGGCCTGTAACGTCTACGGACCTGGTGGTTAAGGTCATGGCAAATAATACACATGGCGTCTTTCTTTCTGCTGTCTGTATATATCCAGGACCTACGTCACCTTGTGCTTTCCTCCCATATCTCGCCGACACACTGTCGTATGGATGAAATGATGTTCACAGCGGCGATAAACCCAACTCACTCACTCACACAAGTAATGTGAAGTATCGGATAACCAACCCTTACCAACCACTAACTCGCACTGAATGCATGTATGTATGACGACAAGTCGGTGTGTGAAGATCCGCGTTTCTTGTGGGACAAAGATGAATAAGTTGTGTTACATGTTCTTGTTACTGTGACGAACCTCACACTGAAACTGAACACGATAAAAATTAAACTATTTTTCACGACTGTCACAAGTTGTGTCATCACGTGACCCAGTCGTGTTCAAATAACTCACCCGATCATAACGGTGATTCGAATAAATGGCATTGGGGTTGCTGGGATTTTATGGAAAAATAATGAATTGTTCCTACAAATTGTTTAGGAAAATAATTATGATTTTGACCTTTGAACAAATTTGAAATTACCTGCCACAAATATTACATTGTTGCACCATGCATGCTCATAATTTAAGGTAATAAAATTATCTGGTTTGGGCGATATTTAGCCATGGGATGTTATCTAATACGATATGAAAATTAGTGAGTAATACTGTATGGAGTCCTGGCAAGTTAAAAAAAGTCTATGTCTAAATGAAGACACGCAGTCACGTTACTGCCTCAATCACGAGAGCTTATTTGATAGTGATTCAAAGTGAGTGAGTGAACGAGTATTGTTTAACGCCGCTTTTAGCAATGTTCCAGCAATATCACGGCTTCACACATTGTACCCATGTCGGGGAATCGAACCCGGGTCTTCGGCGCGACGAATGCACACAGTACACTCGAGTCGCATAAGGACTCTACTTTTTTCCAATGAACTTAAGAAATATGTAAGTGCACGTGATAGTATCTATATGACCGCGTTCTGAAAATCTTGGAATCTGGACCAGACAATCCAGTGAAAGTATCTCTATGACCACGTTCTAATTAGGTTTTGACCAACTGTTTTATAAATGTTATTAGTGACTTTGCTGAATCGACGATGTGAAAGAGTAAAAATGTTGAAATCCATATGTCAGTTCTGTCGCTATAATGCGCTGTCATTTATTTTATTGCTTTTATTGACGCTGATATTGTTAATGGCGTCTTACAAATAGACACGTAAGCAACTACCTCTCTTTCGACACGTCATTATAGAGACATTAAGTATGTGACATCGTGCACAAGGGACAATAGGTGGTACGTCAGGTTCTGAAATATCTAAAATATAACAGCCAATGAGAGAAACACACGACGATATAAGAAATGCTGACAGTTTGGAGACAGGTAGAACCAATACTGTTGGAAAATCCCCAAGTCTATATTTAGCCACCCGCTCATGCCTGTTCGGCGCGCGCCGGTGTTTGTTGTAATCGATATATTACGTCTGTTTCAAAGCTGTAAAGAAACATACTGACGTTTATTTGCACAAAGGGAAACCTTTCATATTTTCACCATACTGACTTGAATAAAGACGTAAAATTGATCGCGGAAAGAGCGTGTGTCGTCGCGTATTTGACTTTTGTCACGACTGTGAAGGCACTGTGCGCTTGTGCGAGTCTGTCTATGCTTATGAGCATTTAAAACAATGAGCCTGAATCTTTTTACAAAAGACATCTTGCAACAATGTATTTTTTGTCGCAGGCAATTTCATTTTATTCAACAGTCTGAAGCATAACTAATTTTTCGAAAATTATCGGGTACACAATTTATTTAATCGATGAAAATTCCCAGCCCCAGACTATCAAATAGTCGGCTCCTGAGGTGAGGAGTCACTATGTACCGGGACATGGAGTCACTATGTACCGGAACACGGAGTCACTATGTACCGGAACATGGAGCCACTATGTACCGGAACATGGAGTCACTATGTACCGGAACATGGAGTCACTATATTCCGGAACATGGAGTCACTATGTACCGGAACATGGAGTCACTATGTACCGGAACACGGAGTCACTATGTACCGGAACATGGAGCCACTATGTACCGGAACACGAAGTCACTATGTACCGGAACATGGAGTCACTATGTACCGGAACATGAAGTCACTATGTACCGGAATATGGAGTCACTATGTACCGGAACATTGAGTCACTATGTACCGGAACATGGAGTCACTATGTACCGGAACACGGAGTCACTATGTACCGGAACACGGAGTCACTATGTACCGGAACATGGAGTCACTATGTACCGGAACACGGAGTCACCATGTACCGGAACACGGAGTCACTATCTACCGGAACACGGAATCACTATGTACCGGAACACGGAGTCACTATGTACCGGAACATGGAGTCACTATGTACCGGAACATGGAGTCACTATGTACCGGAACAGGGAGTCACTATGTACCAGAACACGGAGTCACTATGTACCGGGACATGGAGTTACTATGTACCGGAACACGGAGTCACTATGTACCGGAACACGGAGCCACTATGTACCTGAACATGGAGCCACTATGTACCGGAACATGGAGTCACTATGTACCGGAACACGGAGTCACTATGTACCGGAACACGGAGTCACTATGTACCGGAACACGGAGTCTCTATGTACCGGAACACGGAGTCACTATGTACCGGAACAGGGAGTCACTATGTACCGGAACATGGAGTCACAATGTACCGGAACATGGAGTCACTATGTACCGGAACACGGAGTCACTACGTACCGGAACACGGAGTCACTATTTACCTAAACATGGAGTCACTATGTACCGGAACATGGAGTCACTATGTACCGGAACATGGAGTCACTATGTACCGGAACATGGAGTCACTATGTACCGGAACACGGAGTCACTATGTACCGGAACATGGAGTCACTATGTACCGGAACATGGAGTCACTATGTACCGGAACATGGAGTCACTATGTACCGTAACATGGAGTCACTATGTACCGGAACATGGAGTCATTATGTACCGGAACACGGAGTCACTATGTACCGGGACTCGGAGTCACTATGTACCGAACATGGAGTCACTATGTACCGGAACACGGAATCACTATGTACCGGAACATGGAGTCACTATGTACCGGAACACGGAATCACTATGTACCGGAACACGGAATCACTATGTACCGGAACATGGAGTCACTATGTACCGGAACACGAAGTCACTATGTACCGGAACATGGAGTCACTATGTACCGGAACGTGGAGTCACTATGTACCGGAACATGGAGTTACTATGTACCGGAACGTGGAGTCACTATGTACCGGAACGTGGAGTCACTATGTACCGGAACATGGAGTCACTATGTACCGGAACATGGAGTCACTATGTACCGGAACATGGAGTCACTATGTACCGTAACATGGAGTCACTATGTACCGGAACATGGAGTCACTATGTACCGGAACATGGAGTCATTATGTACCGGAACACGGAGTCACTATGTACCGGGACTCGGAGTCACTATGTACCGAACACGGAGTCACTATGTACCGGAACACGGAATCACTATGTACCGGAACATGGAGTCACTATGTACCGGAACATGGAGTCACTATGTACCGGAACACGGAATCACTATGTACCGGAACACGGAGTCACTATGTACCGGAACATGGAGTCACTATGTACCGGAACACGAAGTCACTATGTACCGGAACATGGAGTCACTATGTACCGGAACGTGGAGTCACTATGTACCGGAACATGGAGTCACTATGTACCGGAACGTGGAGTCACTATGTACCGGAACGTGGAGTCACTATGTACCGGAACATGGAGTCACTATGTACCGGAACATGGTGTCATTATGTACCGGATCACGGAGTCACTATGTACTGGAACACGGAGTCACTATGTACCGGAAAACGGAGTCACTATGTACTCGAACATGGAGCCACTATGTACCGGAACATGGAGTCACTACGTACCGGAACATGGAGTCACTATGTACCGGAACATGGAGTCACAATGTACCGGAACACGGAGTCACTATGTACCGGAACACGGAGTCACTATGTACCGGAACATGAAGTCACTATGTACCGGAACACGGAGTCACTATGTACCGTATGTACTGTATTCTAACTGTCACGACGGTCTCCCTACAGCTGTGACTGTCTTGTGTCTGTAGCGACTGTTTCCTGACTGTATTCTAACTGTCACGACGGTCTCCCTACAGCTGTGACTGTCTTGTGTCTGAAGCGACTGTTTCCTGACTGTATTCTAACTGTCACGACGGTCTCCCTACAGCTGTGACTGTCTTGTGTCTGAAGCGACTGTTTCCTGACTGTATTCTAACTGTCACGACGGTCTCCCTACAGCTGTGACTGTCTGGTGTCTGAAGCGACTGTTTTCTGACTGTATTCTAACTGTCACGACGGTCTCCCTACAGCTGTGACTGTCTTGTGTCTGTAGCGACTGTTTCCCTCCTGAAGTATTCTATCTGTCACGACGGTCTCCCTACAGCTGTGACTGTCTTGTGTCTGCAGCGACTGTGTCCCGACTGTATTCTATCTGTCACGACGATCTCCCTACAGCTGTGACTGTCTTGTGTCTGAAGCGACTGTTTTCTGACTGTATTCTAACTGTCACGACGGTCTCCCTACAGCTGTGACTGTCTTGTGTCTGTAGCGACTGTTTCCCTCCTGAAGTATTCTAACTGTCACGACGGTCTCCCTACAGCTGTGACTGTCTTGTGTCTGTAGCGACTGTTTCCCTCCTGAAGTATTCTAACTGTCACGACGGTCTCCCTACAGCTGTGACTGTCTTGTGTCTGTAGCGACTGTTTCCTGACTGTATTCTAACTGTCACGACGGTCTCCCTACAGCTGTGACTGTCTTGTGTCTGTAGCGACTGTTTCCCTACCGAAGTATTCTAACTGTCACGACGTCTCCCTACAGCTGTGACTGTCTTGGAGTCTGAAGCGACTGTTTCCCTACTGAAGTATTCTAACTGTCACGACGGTCTCCCTACAGCTGTGACTGTCTGGTGTCTGTAGCGACTGTTTCCCTACTGAAGTATTCTAACTGTCACGACGGTCTCCCTACAGCTGTGACTGTCTTGTGTCTGAAGCGACTGTCTCCTGACTGTATTCTAACTGTCACGACGATCTCCCTACAGCTGTGACTGTCTTGTGTCTGAAGCGACTGTCTCCTGACTGTATTCTAACTGTCACGACGGTCTCCCTACAGCTGTGACTGTCTTGTGTCTGAAGCGACTGTTTCCTGACTGTATTCTAACTGTCACGACGGTCTCCCTACAGCTGTGACTGTCTGGTGTCTGAAGCGACTGTTTTCTGACTGTATTCTAACTGTCACGACGGTCTCCCTACAGCTGTGACTGTCTTGTGTCTGTAGCGACTGTTTCCCTCCTGAAGTATTCTATCTGTCACGACGGTCTCCCTACAGCTGTGACTGTCTTGTGTCTGCAGCGACTGTGTCCCGACTGTATTCTATCTGTCACGACGATCTCCCTACAGCTGTGACTGTCTTGTGTCTGAAGCGACTGTTTTCTGACTGTATTCTAACTGTCACGACGGTCTCCCTACAGCTGTGACTGTCTTGTGTCTGTAGCGACTGTTTCCCTCCTGAAGTATTCTAACTGTCACGACGGTCTCCCTACAGCTGTGACTGTCTTGTGTCTGTAGCGACTGTTTCCCTCCTGAAGTATTCTAACTGTCACGACGGTCTCCCTACAGCTGTGACTGTCTTGTGTCTGTAGCGACTGTTTCCTGACTGTATTCTAACTGTCACGACGGTCTCCCTACAGCTGTGACTGTCTTGTGTCTGTAGCGACTGTTTCCCTACCGAAGTATTCTAACTGTCACGACGTCTCCCTACAGCTGTGACTGTCTTGTGTCTGAAGCGACTGTTTCCCTACTGAAGTATTCTAACTGTCACGACGGTCTCCCTACAGCTGTGACTGTCTGGTGTCTGTAGCGACTGTTTCCCTACTGAAGTATTCTAACTGTCACGACGGTCTCCCTACAGCTGTGACTGTCTTGTGTCTGAAGCGACTGTCTCCTGACTGTATTCTAACTGTCACGACGATCTCCCTACAGCTGTGACTGTCTTGTGTCTGAAGCGACTGTCTCCTGACTGTATTCTAACTGTCACGACGGTCTCCCTACAGCTGTGACTGTCTTGTGTCTGTAGCGACTGTTTCCCTCCTGAAGTATTCTAACTGTCACGACGGTCTCCCTACAGCTGTGACTGTCTTGTGTCTGAAGCGACTGTTTCCTGACTGTATTCTAACTGTCACGACGGTCTCCCTACAGCTATGACTGTCTTGTGTCTGCAGCGACTGTGTCCCGACTGTATTCTAACTGTCACGACGATCTCCCTACAGCTGTGACTGTCTTGTGTCTGAAGCGACTGTTTTCTGACTGTATTCTAACTGTCACGACGGTCTCCCTACAGCTGTGACTGTCTTGTGTCTGTAGCGACTGTTTCCCTCCTGAAGTATTCTAACTGTCACGACGGTCTCCCTACAGCTGTGACTGTCTTGTGTCTGTAGCGACTGTTTCCTGACTGTATTCTATCTGTCACGACGGTCTCCCTACAGCTGTGACTGTCTTGTGTCTGTAGCGACTGTTTCCCTACCGAAGTATTCTAACTGTCACGACGTCTCCCTACAGCTGTGACTGTCTTGTGTCTGAAGCGACTGTTTCCCTACTGAAGTATTCTAACTGTCACGACGGTCTCCCTACAGCTGTGATTGTCTGGTGTCTGTAGCGACTGTTTCCCTACTGAAGTATTCTAACTGTCACGACGGTCTCCCTACAGCTGTGACTGTCTTGTGTCTGAAGCGACTGTCTCCTGACTGTATTCTAACTGTCACGACGGTCTCCCTGCAGCTATGACTGTCTTGTGTCTGTAGCGACTGTTTTCTGACTGTATTCTAACTGTCACGACGGTCTCCCTACAGCTGTGACTGTCTTGTGTCTGTAGCGACTGTTTCCTGACTGTATTCTATCTGTCACGACGGTCTCCCTACAGCTGTGACTGTCTTGTGTCTGTAGCGACTGTTTCCTGACTGTATTCTATCTGTCACGACGGTCTCCCTACAGCTGTGACTGTCTGGTGTCTGTAGCGACTGTTTCCCTACTGAAGTATTCTAACTGTCACGACGGTCTCCCTACAGCTGTGACTGTCTTGTGTCTGAAGCGACTGTTTCCTGACTGAAGTATTCTAACTGTCACGACGGTCTCCCTACAGCTGTGACTGTCTTGTGTCTGTAGCGACTGTTTTCTGACTGTATTCTAACTGTCACGACGGTCTCCCTACAGCTGTGACTGTCTTGTGTCTGAAGCGACTGTTTCCTGACTGAAGTATTCTAACTGTCACGACGGTCTCCCTACAGCTGTGACTGTCTTGTGTCTGTAGCGACTGTTTTCTGACTGTATTCTAACTGTCACGACGGTCTCCCTACAGCTGTGACTGTCTTGTGTCTGAAGCGACTGTCTCCTGACTGTATTCTAACTGTCACGACGGTCTCCCTGCAGCTGTGACTGTCTTGTGTCTGTAGCGACTGTTTCCTGACTGTATTCTAACTGTCACGACGTCTCCCTACAGCTGTGACTGTCTTGTGTCTGTAGCGACTGTTTCCTGACTGTATTCTAACTGTCACGACGGTCTCCCTACAGCTGTGACTGTCTTGTGTCTGTAGCGACTGTTTCCCTACTGAAGTATTCTAACTGTCACGACGGTCTCCCTACAGCTGTGACTGTCTTGTGTCTGTAGCGACTGTTTTCTGACTGTATTCTAACTGTCACGACGATCTCCCTACAGCTGTGACTGTCTTGTGTCTGAAGCGACTGTTTCCTGACTGAAGTATTCTAACTGTCACGACGGTCTCCCTACAGCTGTGACTGTCTTGTGTCTGTAGCGACTGTTTTCTGACTGTATTCTAACTGTCACGACGGTCTCCCTACAGCTGTGACTGTCTTGTGTCTGAAGCGACTGTTTTCTGACTGAAGTATTCTAACTGTCACGACGGTCTCCCTACAGCTGTGACTGTCTTGTGTCTGTAGCGACTGTTTTCTGACTGTATTCTAACTGTCACGACGGTCTCCCTACAGCTGTGACTGTCTTGTGTCTGAAGCGACTGTTTCCTGACTGAAGTATTCAAACTGTCACGACTGTCTCTTAACAGGGACAGTGCTTAATCCGGGGTGACAGTGGTTAATCCGAGATGACAGTGGTTAATCCGAGGTGACAGTGGTTAATCCGAGGTGACAGTGATTAATCCGAGGTGACATTGGTTAATCCGAGGTGACAATGTTTAAACCGAGGTGGCAGTGGTTAAACCGAGGTGACAGTGGTTAATCCGAGGTGACAGTGGTTTATCCGAGTTAACAGTGTTTAAACCGAGGTGACAGTGGTTAATCCGGGGTGAGAGCGGTTAATCCGAGGTGACAGTGGTTAATCCGAGGTTGCAGTGGTTAATCTGGGGTGACAGTCCTTAATCCGGGGTGACAGTGGTTAACCGTCGTGACAGTGCTCGAACCGAGATGACAGTGCTTGATCCGCGGTGACAGTGCTTTAACCAGAGTGACAGTGCTTAAACCGGAGTGACAGTGCTTAAACCGAAGTAGTAGTGCTTGAACCGAGGTGACAGTGCTTGAACCGAGGTGACAGTGCTCGAACCGAGGTGACAGTGCTCGAACCGAGGTAGCAGTGCTCGGACCGAGGTGACAGTGCTTGAACCGAGGTGACAGGGCTTTAACCAGAGTGACAGTGCTTAAACCGGAGTGACAGTGCTTAAACCGAAGTAGTAGTGCTTGAACCGAGGTGACAGTGCTTGAACCGAGGTGACAGTGCTCGAACCGAGGTGACAGTGCTCGAACCGAGGTAGCAGTGCTCGGACCGAGGTGACAGTGCTTGAACCGAGGTGACAGGGCTTGTAGGCCGTCACACTGGATGTATAACTCCGCACAGAGAGTAATGGAAGCATGATTTAAGTTATGAATAATGACAGTGGCCAGTGGCTGGGGAAACTTCTGGGGTCTGGGGACGAAGACGTCTACTATGCACACTGATAACTTGAAGTCACTATGACTGACGCTCAGCATGCAAAATTATGGAGGGTCTCGTTGATTCTACTTCTCGTTGATTCTACTTCTCGTTGATTCTACTTCTCGTTGATTCTACTTCCGGAATCAACACATTCTCATGGTTTCTCCATGACAGCATTTCTCAGGATTTGACCTCATTTTCAGTGTGAGAATGAAGCTGGTGTTTCTTCTATGTTTGACCGCTGTCCTGGTCGCCATGGGAACGGATGGATGGGGACGCAGACGCTGGGGCATACGGGTCCGAGTTCCCCGCTTCCGAGTTCCGCGCTTTCGGACACTGAAACCGTTTATCAAGCCAGTCTTGGGTACCTTGGCTAAAACATATTTCGGACCATGTCACACTGGAATAAAGGTTGAATGTGGTCTTTACAGGTATTTAAAGTGAACGTCTTTATTTAAATCATACAACTACATAGTCTCGTGTTATGCCGATCTTGTTGTCGTGTTAAAGATGATGTTTCACCAACACTCGAACTTTATCAGGTCGCGACACCAAGAACGTGTTTCAAACATTGTCCCCGTGTGTGCGGTGACACCCTCGAGACATTGTTTCAGTCTAGAACTGTTGTTTACTTCCTCTTCCCGGCGGCATAAAGTAAAATGATTATTTATCATAATGTTTATATTATATAAATGTTTCGTTTGTGGATTTGATTATCAGTATTTTGTTCCTGTGCCTTTGATATTAATTAGCCTTATGTTATAAAATATCTTCTCTTTCGTTGAATACATTCACTTTGTTTTATCTTCAACTCGAAATCAGTGACTCGATTGGTCCTTTAAGACTTTTAGGTTCGGCAGAATCTTGATAACCTTTACTTCATTGATGGCCTTCAGCGGCACCCCGGTTGTCTGGAACCCTGGCTAACTCAGCATGTACCTCATGGTCCCCATAAGTGTACTTATTGATCTTATTCATATTCAGAATTCTTGCACGAACTGTTTTAAAATATCTTTAATACACTTAACATCTTTAATCTAAAGTGTACAATTATTGCAATCTTAAACTACTCCTACAGAAAGTTTACTGGGCGTGAGGTTCAGACTTTGGACGCCAACACGGATGGGTTAGTGGATAGGTCCGAGGCCGCGAGTTATTTCGGCTTGGACCACAACGACGCCCAACTTGATCACTTCATGAACATGGCGGATGCGAAACGTGAGTTGCTGAAGACGTGACGCTAGTGGTAGCTGCAGACGTGAAGCTGGTGGTAGCTGCAGACGTGACGCTAGTGGTAGCTGCAGACGTGACGCTAGTGGTAGCTGCAGACGTGAAGCTAGTGGTAGCTGCAGACGTGACGCTAGTGATAGCTGCAGACGTGACGCTAGTGGTAGCTGCAGACGTGACGCTAGTGATAGCTGCAGACGTGACGCTAGTGGTAGCTGCAGACGTGACGCTAGTGATAGCTGCAGACGTGACGCTAGTGGTAGCTGTAGACGTGACGCTAGTGGTAGCTGCAGACGTGACGCTAGTGGTAGCTGCAGACGTGACGCTAGTGGTAGCTGCAGACGTGAAGCTAGTGGTAGCTGCAGACGTGACGCTAGTGATAGCTGCAGACGTGACGCTAGTGGTAGCTGCAGACGTGACGCTAGTGATAGCTACAGACGTGACGCTAGTGGTAGCTGCAGACGTGACGCTAGTGATAGCTGCAGACGTGACGCTAGTGGTAGCTGCAGACGTGACGCTAGTGGTAGCTGCAGACGTGACGCTAGTGGTAGCTGCAGACGTGACGCTAGTGATAGCTGCAGACGTGACGCTAGTGGTAGCTGCAGACGTGACGCTAGTGGTAGCTGCAGACGTGACGCTAGTGGTAGCTGCAGACGTGACGCTAGTGGTAGCTGCAGACGTGACGCTAGTGGTAGCTGCAGACGTGACGCTAGTGGTAGCTGCAGACGTGACGCTAGTGATAGCTGCAGACGTGACGCTAGTGATAGCTACAGACGTGAAGCTAGTGGTAGCTGCAGACGTGACGCTAGTGGTAGCTGCAGACGTGAAGCTAGTGGTAGCTGCAGACGTGACGCTAGTGGTAGCTGCAGACGTGACGCTAGTGATAGCTACAGACGTGACGCTAGTGATAGCTACAGACGTGAAGCTAGTGATAGCTGCAGACGTGACGCTAGTGGTAGCTGTAGACGTGAAGCTAGTGGTAGCTGCAGACGTGACGCTAGTGGTAGCTGCAGACGTGACGCTAGTGATAGCTACAGACGTGACGCTAGTGATAGCTGCAGACGTGACGCTAGTGGTAGCTGCAGACGTGACGCTAGTGGTAGCTGCAGACGTGACGCTAGTGGTAGCTGCAGACGTGAAGCTAGTGGAAGCTGCAGACGTGACGCTAGTGATAGCTGCAGACGTGACGCTAGTGGTAGCTGCAGACGTGACGCTAGTGATAGCTGCAGACGTGACGCTAGTGGTAGCTGCAGACGTGACGCTAGTGATAGCTACAGACGTGACGCTAGTGGTAGCTGCAGACGTGAAGCTAGTGATAGCTGCAGACGTGACGCTAGTGATAGCTGCAGACGTGACGCTAGTGATAGCTGCAGACGTGACGCTAGTGATAGCTGCAGACGTGACGCTAGTGGTAGCTGCAGACGTGACGCTAGTGGTAGCTGCAGACGTGACGCTAGTGATAGCTGCAGACGTGACGCTAGTGATAGCTGCAGACGTGACGCTAGTGATAGCTGCAGACGTGACGCTAGTGGAAGCTGCAGACGTGACGCTAGTGGTAGCTGCAGACGTGACGCTAGTGGTAGCTGCAGACGTGACGCTAGTGATAGCTGCAGACGTGACGCTAGTGGTAGCTGCAGACGTGACGCTAGTGATAGCTACAGACGTGACGCTAGTGATAGCTGCAGACGTGAAGCTAGTGGTAGCTGCAGACGTGAAGCTAGTGGTAGCTGCAGACGTGACGCTAGTGGTAGCTGCAGACGTGAGGCTAGTGGTAGCTGCAGACGTGACGCTAGTGATAGCTACAGACGTGACGCTAGTGATAGCTACAGACGTGAAGCTAGTGGTAGCTGCAGACGTGACGCTAGTGGTAGCTGCAGACGTGAAGCTAGTGGTAGCTGCAGACGTGACGCTAGTGGTAGCTGCAGACGTGACGCTAGTGGTAGCTACAGACGTGACGCTAGTGATAGCTACAGACGTGAAGCTAGTGGTAGCTGCAGACGTGACGCTAGTGGTAGCTGCAGACGTGAAGCTAGTGGTAGCTGCAGACGTGACGCTAGTGGTAGCTGCAGACGTGACGCTAGTGATAGCTACAGACGTGACGCTAGTGGTAGCTGCAGACGTGACGCTAGTGGTAGCTGTAGACGTGACGCTAGTGGTAGCTGTAGACGTGACCCTAGTGGTAGCTGCAGACGTGAAGCTAGTGGTAGCTGTAGACGTGACCCTAGTGGTAGCTGCAGACGTGAAGCTAGTGGTAGCTGCAGACGTGACGCTAGTGGTAGCTGTAGACGTGACGCTAGTGGTAGCTGCAGACGTGAAGCTAGTGGTAGCTGTAGACGTGACGCTAGTGGTAGCTGTAGACGTGACGCTAGTGGTAGCTGCAGACGTGACGCTAGTGGTAGCTGCAGACGTGACGCTAGTGATAGCTGCAGACGTGACGCTAGTGGTAGCTGTAGACGTGAAGCTAGTGGTAGCTGCAGACGTGACGCTAGTGGTAGCTGTAGACGTGAAGCTAGTGGTAGCTGTAGACGTGACGCTAGTGGTAGCTGCAGACGTGACGCTAGTGGTAGCTGCAGACGTGAAGCTAGTGATAGCTGCAGACGTGACGCTAGTGGTAGCTGTAGACGTGAAGCTAGTGGTAGCTGTAGACGTGACGCTAGTGGTAGCTGCAGACGTGACGCTTGTGGTAGCTGCAGATTTGAACACAGTTTGTTTAGCTGACACAGTTTAAATTACTAGGTCGTTATCTCGACGAGAAATGCGTGAATTAACATTTAAAGTCGCTTTGTGTTTTCGCGTATAGCGACATGTTAACTCAATGACGGTAGACGTGCAGTTTTAACTCAGCACGTTTTTATGTTTGGACGGTGGCAAATACCTTTAGAAAAGAATGACAGATACCTTCATAAAAGACACTTTGGAAGATCCCTATTTACTCACCATATTTCAATAGTACGATTCAAATACTATTGTCCAAACACTGTGGTTTAATCCACATGGTATTAACAACATGGAAAAACTACACTATTGCCCACCACACAGACAAACTCCACGTGAATGTACCCAGACTACTGGCCACGTGCACATCCTCAGATTGTTGTTTTCTGTTCTGTTTGAAAGGTGATGGCACCGTGGATCTGGACGAGTTCTTTGATGCGGCGCTGGCGTTCGAGGACCCAACTCCGGAAGCTGGTAATTAAAGTTTTCTTGTCGCTCACATTTCTTCCGTTACGAGTTGTTCCCTCAAACTTGGATGACGTGGCAGTCAGCAACGTACCAGCAACATCACGACGACCCGAATCATTACAGTCGCCACTTACAAGCGTAGGCTACAGGAGATCTCTTCTCAAAACGAACAGCACATGACGCACGATACCTCTCGTGTAAATGCAGTTTGTGCGTGCGTGCGTGCGTGCGAGCGTGCGTGCGCGTATGTGTTCGCGTGTGCACGTAACATAGGAACATGTTGGTTAATATATCATTGTGTCGTGGAAAGTCTTTAACTCGTATTTGTCATTGAGTTAAACTAAATCAAATCACTGGCGTATGCATGGAATAATGATATGGTGGCATGGCCAGCACATTCGGTTGCGGGTATATACATATCTACCGCCGACACCGTCACTACAGCAGTTCACAAATGACATATGTCGACTGATATGTTGCAGCACCGTGATCGACTGACTGACTCCAGAACGAGGCTGCAGAATGCCCACCTGTACAAAGACTTCCTTCTCCTCTTGTTGTTATTGGCGTTATGTGTGCATTGAATAAACTTTCACTGTTACATTTTGATTGTTTGTTTGTTTGTTTAAACGTTTGTTTGTTCTACCCCGGATATCACGGTCGGGTGCACATGTACTGGAATGGCGAACACTCATGGCGGTGTATTCCTGAAAACTTCACATTTATAACGCGGAGTTGTGTTGTATTGGTCAGGAACAGTTAGGTGCAATCACATCTTCGTGTTACAGTAAACTACGTTTATAACGAACACGCTTATAATGAACTGACGGATATAACGAAATGTATTTTGATCCCGCCCATTTGCTGTATATTTGCGGTATATATGCTTTATATATGCTTATAAATAACTACGGTTATAACGAACTAAAATTAGTGGTCTCTCTGACTTCATTATAACCGTTATTTACTGTATTTACTAAAGTCTTCAAAGACGTTTAGGGAAGAGCTGCGCATTGGTTGTTGGCACTGGAGACGCGTGCTGCGGGTGCGAAACTGACAAAGCGCAAGTCGAGTCTCCCGGTGGGAAAAAACAAATGAAATAGTTATTTTTGTTTTATGCGGCGATCAGCAGTAATCCAGCTCCATCACAGCGACCTGTAAACACTCAAATCAATCAAATATCAACAATTCATAATGATATCAGCACTCAGTCGGGGTTCGGCTACACGCGAACAGCAGAGTGACGGACTCTCACCATCCGATCCATTTAGTCGCTTCTTACAACATTCGCGGATGAAAAGTGTGTGTGTGAGCGTGTGCGTGCGTGTGCGTGTGCGTGCGCGTGCGCGTGACAAAGTTGGGAGGGGGGAGAGGCTTTCTTAGGCATACATAACATTCTACATGTGGTCGCTGTATGGCGGGCATAGTGTCAACGTTAACCAATCTGGCCCCGCGCTTGGACAAACATCAGCTACTGGGGATCTCATCTGACCCGCAATCCACACGGATCAGTTCCATGTCGTGTATCATCGGATTCTATAAAAATTACCATTTCCTGACAAATCACATCTGATTCTATGAAGATTACCATTTCCTGACACATCACATCTGATTCTATGAAGATTACCATTTCCTGACAAATCACATCTGATTCTTTGAAGATTACCATTTCCTGACACATCACATATGATTCTATAAAGATTACAATAACCTAACACATCACATCTGATTCTATGAAGATTACCATTTCCTGACAAATCACATCTGATTCTATGAAGATTACCATTTCCTGACAAATCACATCTGATTCTATAAAGATTACCATTTCCTGACATATCACATCTGATTATGTGAAGATTACCATTTCCTGACACATCACATCTGATTCTATGAAGATTACCATTTCCTGACAAATCACATCTGATTCTTTGAAGATTACCATTTCCTGACACATCACATATGATTCTATACAGATTACAATAACCTAACACATCACATCTGATTCTATGAAGATTACCATTTCCTGACATATCACATCTGATTCTATGAAGATTACCATTTCCTGACATATCACATCTGATTATGTGAAGATTACCATTTCCTGACATATCACATCTGATTCTATGAAGATTACCATTTCCTGACATATCACATCTGATTATGTGAAGATTACCATTTCCTGACATATCACATCTGATTATGTGAAGATTACCATTTCCTGACAAATCACATCTGATTCTATAAAGATTACCATTTCCTGACATATCACATCTGATTCTATGAAGATTACCATTTCCTGACAAATCACATCTGATTCTATGTAGATTACCATTTCCTGACATATCACATCTGATTCTATAAAGATTACCATTTCCTGACATATCACATCTGATTCTTTGAAGATTACCATTTCCTGACACATCACATCTGATTCTATAAAGATTACCATTTCCTGACAAATCACATCTGATTATGTGAAGATTACCATTTCCTGACATATCACATCTGATTCTATAAAGATTACCATTTCCTGACATATCACATCTGATTCTATAAAGATTACCATTTCCTGACATATCACATCTGATTATGTGAAGATTACCATTTCCTGACACATCACATCTGATTCTATAAAGATTACCATTTCCTGACATATCACATCTGATTCTATGAAGATTACCATTTCCTGACATATCACATCTGATTCTATGAAGATTACCATTTCCTGACATATCACATCTGATTCTATGACGATTACCATTTCCTGACACATCACATCTGATTCTATGAAGATTACCATTTCCTGACATATCACATCTGATTCTATGAAGATTACCATTTCCTGACACATCACATCTGATTCTATGAAGATTACCATTTCGTGACAAATCACATCTGATTCTATGAAGATTACTATTCCTGACAAATCACATCTGATTCTATAAAGATTACCATTTCCTGACATATCACTGCTGATTCTATGTAGATTACCATTTCCTGATAAATCACATCTGATTCTATAAAGATTACCATTTCCTGACATATCACATCTGATTCTATGAAGATTACCATTTCCTGACATATCACATCTGATTCTATGAAGATTACCATTTCCTGACACATCACATCTGATTCTATGAAGATTACCATTTCGTGACAAATCACATCTGATTCTATGAAGATTACTATTCCTGACAAATCACATCTGATTCTATAAAGATTACCATTTCCTGACATATCACATCTGATTATGTGAAGATTACCATTTCCTGACATATCACATCTGATTATGTGAAGATTACCATTTCCTGACATATCACATCTGATTATGTGAAGATTACCATTTCCTGACATATCACTGCTGATTCTATGTAGATTACCATTTCCTGATAAATCACATCTGATTCTATAAAGATTACCATTTCCTGACATATCACATCTGATTCTATGAAGATTACCATTTCCTGACATATCACATCTGATTCTATGAAGATTACCATTTCGTGACAAATCACATCTGATTCTATAAAGATTACCATTTCCTGACATATCACATCTGATTCTATAAAGATTACCATTTCCTGACACATCACATCTGATTCTATGAAGATTACCATTTCCTGACAAATCACATCTGATTCTATAAAGATTACCATTTCCTGACATATCCCATCTGATTCTATGAAGATTACTATTTCCTGACATATCACATCTGATTCTATGAAGATTACCATTTCCTGAAATATCACATCTGATTCTATGAAGATTACCATTTCCTGACAAATCACATCTGATTCTATAAAGATTACCATTTCCTGACATATCCCATCTGATTCTATGAAGATTACTATTTCCTGACATATCACATCTGATTCTATGAAGATTACCATTTCGTGACAAATCACATCTGATTCTTTGAAGATTACCATTTCCTGACAAATCACATCTGTTCTATAAAGATTACCATTTTCTGACATATCACATCTGATTCTATAAAGATTACCATTTCCTGACATATCACATCTGATTCTATAAAGATTACCACTGCCTGACATATCACATCTGATTCTATAAAGATTACAATAACCTAACACATACCACTGCCTGACAAATCACATCTGATTCTATAAAGATTACCATTTCCTGACAAATCACATCTGATTCTATAAAGATTACCATTTCCAAGTCTTACAATATTTGAAACAGTTGTAGTTGCCGTTGCCCATAGACAAAAAATTGAAAGAAGGGAACGTAAAATCACTTTATGTAAACTCATATATCACCTTCGGATGTTCAGCATTCTTTTTAGCTATTATAGAAGAGTCTGTGGTTTGTTTGTATGTTTTTAACGCCAAACTATACGACAGCAGCCTGTAAACAATCGAATCTAGACCAGACAATCCAGTGACTGATATCATGAGCATCGATCTACGCCGTCAATCTACTTCACGTATTATCAACCAAGTCCACGAAACTGACCACCGGATCCGCTGACATACCCCTGACGGCAAGCTGGGGACATATTCAAACCCCGAATCCCCACGGGTGACTCAGCAAAGAGTCTAGAGCTACGGAAACTGACGATCTTGACCGAGGCGTCTCCGGTGGCCTCCCGCACTACATGCGTCAGTTAGAGTGGTTCATGTTTACGGGGGCGGTCGGGTAGCCTAGTGGTTAAAGCGTTCGCTCATTACGTCGTAGACCCGGGTTCGATTCCCGACATGGGTACAATGTGTGAAGCCCATTTTTGGTGTCCCCCGCCGTGATATCGCTGGAATATTGCTAAAAGCGGCGTAAATCATACTCACTCACTCATGTTTACGCTTTTTCGCATCTCTCTTCTATTCAGGTGCCAACAGTATAAAATACAACACATTTCTTTGTTTTTTTAACAACAGCAGTTTTAATGATGTCTTAATATCACACAGTATGACAACACATTATTTCACAAGTGACACTTTGAATAAATGTAAAGGGGGATTTCTTTTAAAAAACGCGATGAACAGGTTTTTTTCTCAGTCTGAGATACTTCCTCAGATTTAAAATGTTTGTATCGCCTCACTCGAGACACGTGACCTTCCAACCTTGGATAATGATCATGTCACTATTTTGTTTGTTTGTCATTAATATTACAAGGCCTCACTCGACACTGATGTATCCTGGGAAATGCCGTACTTAAACTTGAGTTGCCCGGCAACCTTCCACGTGACCTTCTTCCCTTGGATGGTGACCATATCGGCGGGGTTGAATCTGCCTTTGGCACTCTCGTCCTGGAGGATGGTGGCTATGTCACCTTCGGTTACAGTTTGCGACGCGCCGTTGGTCATCCTGACCAGCACTTTGCCTCTGATGTGAACCTCGGCGTCAAAGTCGAACTGGCTCTCCGTCTCCGTGACGTACAGGGTGGCCGTGGTGCGGGTGTAGGGCTGAGCCTTCACTGTGGAGTTCAGAGACCACTTGATGGAATGTTTCACCGTGTTGTCGTCCTCCTGTTTGATGTGGACGTCGCTGCCGAAGCTCGCAGTGGATTTGGAGATGCTCTCAGGGACGTCAATGTTGATGCCGACGTCGCCGCTTTTGGAGAAGCCCTTTGTGATGCTGGTCCTGACGACGGCCTCGGTCTCCCTCTCCATCATGAAGGTGTGGCTCTGGACCTCCTCAGTGTTGTTTTCATAGTTGGAAGTGAAGACGACCTGGGAGTTTGTGTTGCTGTTCTGGGATTGTCTTCGTCCTCCATACTGCTGCTGCTGATACATGCTGCTGGGCGTGAAGCTCGAACTGACGGTGGAGAAGTGGACTTTGTGCCAGTCGATGTCCATCGCCTTGTTGCTGGCGTTTCCGACCCCCACTCGCTGCTCCACCCACTTTCTGATAACAGATTCAAGCTCGATGACTCCCATGTTGATTTCTGAAAGGAAAAATTAAATAAGCTTACAAACACTACCTAAATAGGTACATGTATAAATAATAGCCACAGCCACAACGATAACAAATCTTTAATAGAGGCCACTGTACGATTCCGACTCTTGTGAACATGTGTATATACATAACTGCTTCGTTCAAATGAATTATAAAGAAATATTGATGAACACACAGGTGAGCGTGCTGACGTCAGGCATAGCATTATTCACATTGTTACATTATCATGTAATACTCTATATAGACCACCTACGTACATTACCTCGACTCGTTTACTACACATGAAACTAAGTTATACTCTTTCAATTATTCTCTGATTCCAAAATAGCGGCTTCCACGATAAAGGAAAATATCCCTTACATGTTACTAAAAATGTTCAACTCCTATTCCCATCTTACGGCAGATATAAGGTATACATGATATTGTCGGTTGGCGATAGGTCCGATTTATATTCTGTCAGCCCTGATTAAATTTCCCTGCTAAATACCTGAGAAATAATTCCAACATCCTATATATCCTCTTGATATTTAAAAATACCAAAATGAAATTGTATCACATACAGACAAACATATAATTTACTAAGTACAAACATATTAAAAAATGAAATTTTAGAAATATCAAACTTCCTCATTTTTTAGATAATCGGTTTTAGAAATATCAAACTCACTTAGATTAATGAGAGTTTGCAAATAAGACACGAAAATAGGTGACGATAACGCATGACTGTATTAAAGTATGTACACCTACCTTGTGTGAGTACTGACACTTAGTATTCAGTGTAAAGGTGGGGAGAGGCAAATACTTGACTAAGAGAACGTTTGAAGCTCAGTCTCCGAATGGAAAGCAGTCCTGAAAATAGTGTCCATTTATACCATGTTCTGAAATTAAATATAAATCCATGTCAGACCTGGAATATTCTTCACATGTTTGATGATCGGGAAATTCTTCAAGTCAGTGGATTTTCCATTCCATTGTCTGCACGTGCGCGTCGACTGGGGATTTACTTTTTATTTATATCCACACGTCGACTATGCGATAAGACATCAGTGACGATAATATATCCACATCATGTTGCTCTATCACCCTCCTGCCACAGCTCGATCGGACCACGCAGGTAACTTATCAATCAATAAGGAGACCGCGCTACGATTCTCGCGAGCAGCCGAGAAGCACACACATACATTCCCGCCTCGGCCGAGCTGCTGCGAGTCGAGCCGTGTCGTACCTATACTTAGACACACACACACACACACACACACACACACACACACACACACACACACACACACACACACACACACACACACACACACACACACACACACACACACACACACACACACACACACACGCACACACGCACGCACACGCGCGCACACACACACACGCACACACGCACACACACACACAGAGAGTTATGTTATGTGTTGAGTTAAACGGTAGTGTGGTGTCATCAGGTCGGTTCTATATTGGAGGAGAGACCCAATGACACAGACTGTAGACGTTTAATACATTACTGAAACACAGGAGCAAGGGTAGGGTGCTGACAAACCAGATCGACCAGACCTCGGGCTAATCTCACTTATGGGCGGTGGAAATAAAGTTACTTTACTTGTATACACTGGACCCTGTCAAAAGCGGAATTTGAATATTGCGAAATGTATTTTGATATGTTTTATTACCATATTCCCGGAGTGCGACGTTCAGGGTTTTACCATACCACGTGACATCTTTAAATATCACAAAATACTAACAACGCATTCATGAATATTATGAATTGAAGTTCTGTTATGGGTTTATTTGGAATGTTTTATGACCAGCCTACAGTAGTTATACACAATTCTTATGTCGCAATACAAGCTACAGCTTGATATGGCGTTTATTCCCGGAGTGGAGTGGAACCTGGTAGTTTAGACAACATGCAGTCAGGGGGCTGATAGCTTTGTTTTCCCGAAATCCACATAGTTAGACAGTATATATTGTTGTGTCATCGGTACCCATAGTTAGACAGCATATATTCTTGTGTCAGCAGTACCCATAGTTTAGACAGCATATGTTGTTGTGTCAGCGGTACCCATACTTAGACAGCATATATTGTTGTGTCAGCGGTACCCATAGTTAGACAGCATATATTGTTGTGTCAGCGGTACCCATAGTTTAGACAGCATATATTGTTGTGTCATTGGTACCAATAGTTTAGACAGCATATATTGTTGTGTCATTGGTACCCATAGTTTAGACAGCATATAGTGTTGTGTCATTGGTACCCATAGTTTAGACAGCATATATTGTTGTGTCATCGGTACCCATAGTTTAGACATCATATATTGTTGTGTCATTGGTACCAATAGTTTAGACAGCATATATTGTTGTGTCATTGGTACCCATAGTTTAGACAGCATATAGTGTTGTGTCATTGGTACCCATAGTTTAGACAGCATATATTGTTGTGTCATCGGTACCCATAGTTTAGACATCATATATTGTTGTGTCATTGGTACCCATAGTTTAGACAGCATATAGTGTTGTGTCATTGGTACCCATAGTTAGACAGCATATAGTGTTGTGTCAGCGGTACCCATAGTTAGACAGCATATAGTGGTGTGTCAGCGGTACCCATAGTTAGACAGCATATAGTGTTGTGTCATTGGTACCCATAGTTAGACAGCATATAGTGTTGTGTCAGCGGTACCCATAGTTTAGACAGCATGTATTGTTGTGTCCCCGCAAGAACACCTTGAAGTACAACATGTAGATTGATTGATAGTATGGGATAGTATGTTGATAATTATGCAGGTAAATTAATAAAAGTGAAGGAGTCAACAGGATCTTTGCGTCACGGACATCAGGCCGCACCATCCCTTCGCCTTAAGCCCTTTCACTGTCGATTGTCTGGCTCACACCTTCTGAATCAGGGTAAGAAAAGGTTCCCAAGATCAAATACTTGTGGTTCAAGCCGACCTGTTATTTGGTGGTTACAATAAGTGACGTGGTCAACTGTGTGTCATGGTGCCTCAGTGTGTGACCGACCAGTGAAGATACGGGTAAGAGTAGGTCTCCGGCAACCCATACTAATCGTAAGAGGCGAATAACAGCATCTTTGGTCAGGCTCGCTGACTTTGCTGATGCATGTTATCGCGTCCCAATTGAGTATATCGATGCTCATGATATTTATAACTGGATTGTCTTGTCCAGAATCGATTATTTATAGACCGCCGTCATATAGCTGGAATATTGCTGAGTGCGGCGTTAAGCAATAAACGAACAGTGTCACCTGGTTGATGTATGTCATCGCACTTCTGTGAGGTGGAGCGGTGTCCATGTCGTCCACCGGAAGCGGTGTCCATGTCGTCCATCAGAGGCGGTGTCCATGCCGTCCATCAGAGGCGGTGTCCATGTCGTCCATCGGAAGCGGTGTCCATGTCGTCCACCAGGAGCGGTGTCCATGTCGTCCATCAGGAGCGGTGTCCATGTCGTCCACCAGGAGCGGTGTCCATGTCGTCCATCAGAAGCGGTGCTCATATTATCAACCACTGGTTTGCCCAGACACTCACTCACTTACATATTGGTATTTTGATGTTTCCATACAACTAACATCCTACACCGACCTGTGTATGATTATAAAATGGCTGCCATAAAAGCCGAGATCCCGGCATCAATATAAAACTCAGAAAAATCACCATGATTTTATTTCAGTCGTCATACAGACGTAGATAAATAGATGTTTCATTTGTGGGCCGAACTAACTGGCAGTCAGGGTCCTGACAGACCTGGTAACAAGTTGACACACAAACTTTGGGTTATATCTGCATAAGGAGTTAAACAAGCGTCCAACAGAGTCTGGTTAGAAGGGTGTCACCATTAGAGTGACGTTACTGCTTCTGCTGAACTTACTTCTTCTGCTCGTCCTCGTAGGACACCTCCACTTCCTGCGACACACCGAACCGGAAGTTAAGCGACCCAGTCACGTCCCAGGTTACCTTCCTTGATCCGGTGTCAACGGCGACACCCGGTGTTTGCTTGAATTCGTCATCTTCATCCAAGATGGTGGCCAGGTCATTCTCCATGACCCGTAGAACTGTTCCGCTGCCATCCATGATCCGTACCAGAACCCGCCCCTTCAAGGTGACCTTGGCCTGGAAGGTGAAGTCATACGTCTTCTCTTTAATCCTGAGGACGGCGACCGTTGTCTTACCAGGCAGGGCGTTCACCTTGGAGGTGACGGACCAGCCCACAGAGTGCTTCACCGTGTTCTCGTCCTCTGTCTCCACGCTCACGTCCGACCCGAAGCTGCCCGTTGCATTGGAGACATCGTCAGGAACGCTGATCTGTATTCCAACGTTACCGTTTCTGGTGAAGCCGTTTGACAAAGAGGTCGTGACTGTGGCCTCGGTCTGTCTCTCCATGATGAATGTATGTTCCTGGGTGGCGTTCGTCCTGTTCATGTATTTGGATTTGAACAGGACACCAGATGGAGAATGAGAGCCAGTAGCAAGCGAGGGTTTAGTGCAGAACTTTGGGTCTGTGGTTCTGATACGGAGTTTCTTGGTTTCAACCTCTAGCCTCACATCACCATTTGTAAAATCCCCGTCACTGATGTTGTTCCACTTCTTGGCCCAATCTTCCAGTGGCTTATGGAGGTCGTGAACTGGCATGTTCTGACAAAACCAATACATGTATTAACAATTACCCAAAGTTACTCCATTCTAACTACATCTTAAGCCTAACCATATGAAAGGGACAACGTTTCTGAAAATGTTTTTAACGTTTCAGTTAAGACATCAAAACTCTACATGAAGTAATGAAACAATTTTTCATAAAGAGAGAAATTGGATATAAAATTAACCCAGTAAGAGACTTCAAGCCAACAAGCAAATGTAAAAATAAGTCACAATAAGGGAATATAAGTGACAAGCTCAATTTACTCATAAACCCACATACTATTCTATTGCACCAAGGTAACGATACATTAAACCTGGACATGTAGCACAACACGACAATTAATGACGTAAACTATTGATCAGCTGACACTTACCAACGTAGAAGGGTGGCTGTCGGCAGAATTGGGTAGAAGTGGTCCAACTCGATGATGTCCGGGGAATGGAGTCCTTCCGTCAGGGTCTGCACTTTATGCATGTCTTAGCCTGAAATAACGACAACGCAGACCACAACTACGATACATGAGCTTTCTCTGACGCCTCGGGATCTATGTCATTTACAGAAATAGACCCAACATGAGGGTTCGCCATGACGCATTCTAACTATGGGATTATTGGAATCACAGTGTGGACCTGGCTCGATGGTACCTCGCGCCATGGGGTGAACGACGTGGCACTAACTGTAACTCGGGAATCTACATCTACATCTAATATAGACTCCCTCACAGTGTGCGAGCCCAGTCTTAATTTTACAACTGATATATTTTCCCGTGAAAAACAAGCCTCGTTCTCAAGTGCGACCTATATACAGTAAACATAGTTTGCTAGCAGTCGACAGATTTACTCTCTAGTCTCTGTCAACTGGACAAACAGAGGGCATTACTAAAAGACGGTGTTTTGTTTGTTTTATTAGTTGTCCATGTGACTCAATATATTCACTGAAAATTGATGCTTTTTCACCTTGGTGATAAAATATATTCATTTCATGATTAGGACCATCTTTGGTCAACTTTCCCAGCTGTATCTATACTTGACAGGACAACATGTGCTACCATCATGAAACGATGTCTTACATTTCTCCTGAGTGGAATACCATTATTCTAACTTCTATTTTTTCTTCTCTGCAAGTACCTGACTTTTTGGATGGCATTTTGAACATTTTGATGGCCATGCACGCTTCCTAATACAGATGCTATGTCAATGTTCCCCCATGAATATTACAGAACTTTTATTACCCAAGGTAGCTCATGGCATTTTATATATATCAATATGTTACTTATGTTATATTTGGGATAACACTTTCTTAGTTAAGTATCATCCGGGATTCGAACCCACACCTGCCAGAATCTGTACTTTACTAAGAAAGTGTTATCCCAAATATAACATTAGTTACATTTGACCACTTTCTAAATAACATTGTGTATTCATAGCTTTCGGCCATGGGAGCCGTGCCAATTTACACTTGTCAGGGGGGTACTCAAAGTACGTGATCTAGACTACCAGTTGTCGGACTTTCATTTTGTGGAAGCCTCGGTGGCTCAGTGGGTTAGATCGCTGACTTTGTGTGCTGGCGATTAGGTGCCTCACCCCGGCAGGTGTGGGTTCGAATCCCGGACGGGACTCAACCCCAAAAGGAACCGTGTATGCTTTCCCCAGTCTATATTTAGCTACCGGCCAGTGCCGCGTGTGTAATTCAAGATTTGAATATCGTTCCAAGTCTTTGTCCATGACACACTGTGTGTGATTGGCGTATTTAATCAGGCAGGGAAATCGCATTTTGATTGTCAGGGCTGGTGTAGTGAGTTGTTGGTTTCCTTACGTCGTTTATTGTCCCTGGGAGTCATGGTTACACTTTGAATAAATCCGATTTTATAATGCTCGTAATGGTCGTCCTATTCGCATTTCGCCGCCTTATGAATCTGTGTACTGACTTCAAAGTTCCACCGGGCGGTCGGGTAGCCTAGTGGTTAAACGTTCACTCGTCACGCTGAAGACCCGGGTTCGATTATCCACATGGTTACAAAGTGTGAAGCCCATTTTGGTGTCCCCCTCCGTTATGTTACTGGAATATTGCTCAAGGTGGCGTAAAACCATACTCACTCACTCATTCATTACTCAGGGCTCAATGGAGTTAAAGTACATCAAGGCGTGTCACCATATGTGCGAGGAACGCGGTGCATCAGGTGGTAAATATTTACCCTGTGATCATGATAATCACGATACACGAGAATAAGTGTGGTACTAAAGTACTGATATACCACGGTAAATAAGGTACTGTCATACCACGGTTAAAAAGGTACTGATATACCACGGTAAATAAGGTACTGACATGCCACGGTAAATAAGGTACTGCCATACCACGGTAAATAGGGTACTGACATACCACGGTAAATAAGGTACTGATATACCACGGTAAATAAGGTACTGACATACCACGGTAAATAAGGTACTGTCATACCACGGTTAATAAGGTACTGTCATACCACGGTAAATAAGGTACTGATATACCACTGTAAATAAGGTACTGTCATACCACGGTAAATGTGGTACTGATATACCACAGTATATAAGGTACTGACATACCATGGTAAATAAGGTACTGACATACCACTGTAAATAAGGTACTGATATACCACGGTAAATAAGGTACTGACATACCACGGTAAATAAGGTACTGATATACCACGGTAAATAAGGTACTGTCATACAATGGTAAATAAGGTACTGATATACCACGGTAAATAAGGTACTGTCATACCACGGTAAATAAGGTACTGATAAACCACGGTAAATAAGGTACGATAATACCACAGTTAATAAGGTACTCTCATACCACGGTAAATAAGGTACTAACATACCACGGTAAATAAGGTACTGATATACCACGGTAAATAAGGTACTGATATACCACGGTAAATAAGGTACTGTCATTCGAGGGTAAATAAGTTACTGATATACCACTGTAAATAAGGTACTGTCATATCACTGTAAATAAGGTACTGCCATACCACGGTAAATAAGGTACTGTCATACCAAAGTAAATAAGGTACTGACATACCACGGTAAATAAGGTACTGATATACCATGGTAACTAAGGTACTGACATGCCACGGTAAATAAGGTACTGTCATACCACGGTAAATAAGGTACTGACATACCACGCTAAATAAGGTACTGATATACCACGATAAATAAGGTACTGACATACCACGGTAAATAAGGTACTGTCATACCACTGTAAATAAGACACTGATATACCACGGTAAATAAGGTACTGACATACCACGGTAAATAAGGTACTGATATACCACGGTAAATAAGGTACTGACATACCACAGTAAATAAGGTACTGATATACCACGGTAAATAAGGTACTGATATACCACGGTAAATAAGGTACTGATATACCACGGTAAATAAGGTATTGTCATACGAGGGTAAATAAGTTACTGATATACCACTGTAAATAAGGTACTGTCATATCACGGTAAATAAGGTACTGCCATACCACGATAAATAAGGTACTGTCATACCACGGTAAATAAGGTACTGACATACGACGGTAAATAAGGTACTGATATACCATGGTAAATAAGGTACTGACATGCCACGGTAAATAAAGTACTGTCATACCACGGGAAATAAGGTACTGACATACCACGGTAAATAAGGTACTGATATACCAAGGTAAATAAGGTACTGACATACCACGGTAAATAAGGTACTGTCATACCACTGTAAATAAGGTACTGATATACCACGGTAAATAAGGTACTGATATACCACGGTAAATAAGGTACTGACATACCATGGTAAATAAGGTACTGTCATACCACGATAAATAAGGTACTGATATACCACGGTAAATAAGGTACTGATATACTACAGTAAATAAGGTACTGACATGCCACGTTAAATAAGGTACTGATGTACCACGGTAAATAAGGTACTGACATGCCACGGTAAATAAGGTACTGATATACCACGGTAAATAAGGTACTGACATACCAAGGTAAATAATAATAACAAATCTGTGATTCGAACTTGACTCCAAGGGTTCGATGTACAGATATTCAATACCGTTTCCACTGTACTAAGTAAACAGCAACAACACAATGTACACAACCAAAATCTTTTATTTAAAAAACCCAAAAACAATTTCAATCGTGATTACACACGAAATTAGTCAACTGTCAACAAAAAAATGACAGTTACAGATGTAACTGATAAAATATCTATCCATAATTATAATACATTCCAGCTCAAATCAGACTCCATAGTACGATTCAAACAAGATCTTAAACTCAGTTCGTTTGAAGCCAATACGAAAATACACGATATAATTATTCTCTGTTGTGTTGCTATAGGACACCAGGAGGTTGTCGTTGACAAAGTGTATCAATCTGTGTATCTCCAATCTACACCATCTACTCTAGAGGTACAGTAAACTACGGTTATAACGAACTCAAAGGGACTATTAATTTTAGTTCGTTATAACCGTAATTCGTTATAAGCATATATACAGCATACCTACAGCATATAGTCGGGTCTAAAAAGTTAGTTCGTTATATCCGTTAGTTCGTTATAAGCGTGTTCGTTATAACCGTAGTTATAATTCTGTAATTCTTTATTTCAGATTTAAACACCTAAACGCACTCAAGGCCAGTTCGTTCACATCGTTAGATTTCCTTCCAGTATAAGTGGACGTGTCTATGTTTCGGGATAGACCTTGCAGTCCTGAGAGACACCGAACCGGAAGTGGAGAGTGCCAGATATACCCCATGTCACCTTTCCAGTCTCCATTTCAATACGGACATCAGGCGCCTGGTGGGGATTGGTGTCAGACAAGATGGTAGCAAGCGTTGACTCTATCACCTTTGGCTTTTCGCTGTCGCCCCTGTAGACACGGGCAAGGACCCGACCTTTCATGATGACCGTCGACTTGAAGTTGACCTTATGTTTCTCCTCATTGATCCTGAGTTCTGCAACTGTCGTCTTCCCGGGTGCAACCTTCACCTTGGAGTGGATGGACCAAGCCAGCGAATGTTTCACGGTGCTGACGTCCTCTGTCGCGATGGTCACTTCATTGCCGAAGCTGCTGGTGGCGTTGGTGATGACGTCTGGTACCTTTACCTTAACACCAACGCTGCCATCGGTTGTGAAGCCTTTGGTCAAGGTGGTGGTCACCGTGGCGTCCGTGTGCCTCTCCATGGTGAAGGTGTGTTCCTGGGGGACGTCGGAGTTGTTGGTGTACCTGGATTTGAACACGACCCCCGAACACTTCTCAACATCTTCTGGGTCCAGGGGTCCGTGTTGATTTATCACTCGGAGCTTGCTTGTGTCAATCTCCAGCCGAGCCAGGTCGTTGTTAAACTCATCTTCGGAAAAGTCGCTATGTTTCTTGGCCCATTTTTCCAATGTCTGGGTGAGATCGTAAAGTGGCATTTTCTGGAAAGAAAGTTACAACATGTGTACAATAATCCATCAGTAGCATTTGCCGTCAATGTTGGACCTGTAAAATATTTAACATTTTTAAATGATATGCTACAAAATTTTATGTTTTTAAGCGGCTACCGAAAAATAATCATGATTTATTTACATATGGCTGTACTATTGCAGAGTACGGCGTTAAATAGAAATATACAAGCATTCAAAATTGCCACAAATGACTTAACAGTTACAGATTATGACTCACGAGTTAGGTGTGCAGGTGTCGGTGTAGAAGTCGAAGTAGGAGGGATTTGGTCAACGTGGCAGCCGTCTGAAGACTGACGTCTAGTCAATAGTTCAAACATTTTATACTTATAAATTTGGTCAAATATAGAACCAACGTCTGGAAATTGTCCAAGGAACTGTTGAACTAAAATAAGTCCACGCCAAGAAGAATAACAAGCTGATACACGCCGATTCCATGTAGCCACGCCCACTTTACACACTCTCATATCTCTCTCTGAACACGTGCCTGTAGATAGTACTGTGGTGACGGCAATCATAGATCGATATCACATGTGAACATTCGAAGCTATACTTGGCTCATCGAAGCCCCGCCATGTTTACAATGGTTTTGTAACATATGCGGGAGGAGCCTTCCTGACTGTGGACGGCCAATGTGGCTGTCACAATTATGTCGTCTCAAACAGCTTTAGGTGCCAGTCACGCATGGTCTCGCTTTGAAAAGCTTTGTAATACTTCTGAAACTCTGTTCCTCCATAATGTATGGCTTCTATTACACAATTACATAAAGACTGAATCGGAGTCGCCTCCGGATTGTGGATGTGATGACTTTAACACTGTTTCGTGGCTTGTAAATCTATCGAATATATAAAAAATGTAGACTCAGGTAGATACTGTTGAAGTCAGGGAGCTATACTACAAGTGAGTGAGTGAGTATGGTTTTACGCCGCTTTTAGCAATATTCTAGCAACATCACGGCGCTCTCCTACAAGTAGTCCCGTGTATTGCCCCCGTCTCACCCTCTCACCTATTCAACGGGGCGGTGGAGTAGCCTAGTGGTTAACGCGTTCGCTCGTCGCGCCGAAGACCCGGGTTCGATTCCCGACATAGGTACAATGTGTGAAGCCCATTTCTGGTGTCCCAACCGTGATATTGCTGGAATATTGCTAAAACGGCGTAAAACAACACTCACTCACTCACCCATTCCTCCCACATCCTCACCCCTGCCTGCTCACCATTAGCTGTGGTCAAGTGGATCCTTGGCTGTGCATGTTTACCCACGTCAGCAACCTCGGATCATATTCCAATGGGTCCGGGAATTTTTCAGATTATCAGAAATTCCAATGTTAAATGCCCAAATAGTTACATCATAGTGTCAGTTACAGGGGAACCTCATTTCATGTGAGGAAGCACGGGTGGCCCAGTCGTCTAAAGCGCCGCGATTCGCTCTGCAGAGTTGCGTCCCTTGGGCACGCCAGAAACCTATGATTGTGGGTTCAAATCCCGGTTCGCCCCGATTATGTTTTTAGAGTTGTCAGCACCATACCCGTGCTCGTGGGTTTCACCGAAGTGGTAAACGTCGGACACCTGCATCACTTCGGGCTTTCCTCCCACATTAAGCTGACACGCCGTGATATAACTGGTATACTGTTAAAAGCGGCGTTAAACCCAATTCACTCACTCACTCACTCATTGACCCTGTGTATGTTTCGCATATCATAAAATTGATATGTATAAGTTGTGATACACAGACAATATTAGCCGGGTGTGTATTCGTAACGTAAATATTATCCATTAGGAATAACAACTGAATATATTCAACATATATTCTTGATATATGATATTTATAATACGGAAAGACGAGAGTACTAATATTCTGGTCACAGACTGAGAAAATAGTCGATGTTTACGACGTATGACTTCACTCAATAATCGCATCTATGACGCTATAAATTATATCATGACACGAACCGTTTGTTTCAATCCCAGAAAGCATCATCATGTTCACTTGGGGTGTAACCTCCGTTGACCTCGGACATGATCAAACTGAGCACGTCATGTGACGTAATCAAGGCAACAGTTGCTGGCTGTGTACGGGGGGCCATGCCCCCTGTGCTTATTTTGTAGACAGTTTTCCAGAAAGGTTAATCTTTCATATTTTGATTGTTAGAGATGGTTATTCTCTTGATACACAGTTATCTTTTAAAAATAACTATATATGAACCACTGTCGATATCGATATTTAAATTGCACATTAATATTGTTTGTGTTATGAGATACAAAAACAGTTGTATATACTATCATCTGAAGGTTTGTTTGTTTGTTTGTTGTTTAAAGCCGCACTCAGCAATATTCCAGTAATATGACGGCTGTCTCTAAATATTCGAATCTGGACCAGATAATCCAGTTATTGACACCATGAACATCTGTAACGTCTACGGACCTGGTGCACACAGAACTCCTGCCATGCAACGGCGGCCTGTAACGTCTACGGACCTGGTGCACACAGCACTCCCTGCCATGCAACGGCGGCCTGTAACGTCTACGGACCTGGTGCACACAGCACTCCCTGCCATGCAACGGCGGCCTGTAACGTCTACGGACCTGGTGCACACAGCACTCCAGCCATGCAACGGCGCCTGTAACGTCTACGGACCTGGTGCACACAGCACTCCTGCCATGCGACGGCGCCTGTAACGTCTACGGACCTGGTGCACACAGCACTCCTGCCATGCAACGGCGGCCTGTAACGTCTACGGACCTGGTGCACACAGCACTCCTGCCATGCAACGGCGGCCTGTAACGTCTACGGACCTGGTGCACACAGCACTCCTGCCATGCAACGGCGGCCTGTAACGTCTACGGACCTGGTGCACACAGCACTCCTGCCATGCAACGGCGGCCTGTAACGTCCACGGACCTGGTGCAAACAACACTCCCTGTCATGCGACGGCGGCCTGTAACGTCTACGGACCTGGTGGTTAAGGTCATGGCAAATAATACACATGGCGTCTTTCTTTCTGCTTTCTGTATATATCCAGGATCTACGTCACCTTGTGCTTTCCTCCCATATCTCGCCGACACACTGTCGTATGGATGAAATGATGTTCACAGCGGCGATAAACCCAACTCACTCACTCACACAAGTAATGTGAAGTATCGGATAACCAACCCTTACCAACCCCTATCTCGCACTGAATGCATGTATGTATGACGACAAGTCGGTGTGTGAAGATCCGCGTTTCTTGTGGGACAAAGATGAATATGTTGTGTTACATGTTCTTGTTACTGTGACGAACCTCACGCTGAAACTGAACACGATAAAAATTAAACTATTTTTCACGACTGTCACAAGTTGTGTCATCACGTGACCCAGTCGTGTTCAAATAACTCACCCGATCATAACGGTGATTCGAATAAATAGCATTGGGGTTGCTGGGATTTTATGGAAAAATAATGAATTGTTCCTACAAATTGTTTAGAAAAATAATTATGATTCGGACCTTTGAAAATTTTTGAAATTACCTGCCACAAATATTACACTGGTGCAAGGTGTTTAAAAAAACCACGCAAGCTCATAATTTAAGATAATACAATTATCTGGTTTTGCAGATATATTTTTTTTTCCATCTTCACAAAATGCCGATATTTAGCCATAGGATGTTATCTAATACGATATGAAAACTAGTGAGTAATACTGTATGGAGTCCTGGCATGTTCAAACAAGTCTAAGTCTAAATAAAGACACGCAGTCATATTACTGCCTTAATCAACAGAGCTTATTTGATAGTGATTCATAGTGAGTGAGTGAACGAGTATTGTTTAACGCCGCTTTTAGCAATGTTCCAGCAATATCACGGCGGGGGACACCAGAAATGGGATTCACACATTGTACCCATGTCGGGGAATCGAACCCGGGACTTCGGCGTGACGAATGCACACAGTACACTCGGAGTCGCATAAGGACTTTTAAGAGGGATTTCGGACAGATTTTCCAATTAACTTAAGAAATATGTAAGTGCACGTGATAATATCTATATGACCGCGTTCTGAAAATCTTGGTATCTGGACCAGACAATCCAGTGATAGTATCTCTATGACCACGTTCAAATTAGGTTTTGACCAACTGTTTTATAAATGTTATTAGTAACTTTGCTGAATCGACAATGTGAAAGAGTAAAAATGTTGAAATCCATATGTCAATTCTGTCGCTATAATGCGCTGTCATTTATTTTATTGCTTTTATTGACGCTGATATTGTTAATGGCGTCTTACAAATAGACACGTCATTATAGAGACACGTCATTATAGAGACATTAAGTATGTGACATCGTGCACAAGGGACAATAGGTGGTACGTCAGGTTCCGAAATATCTAAACTATAAGAGCCAATGAGAAAAACACACGACGGAATAAGAAATGCTGACAGTTTGGAGACAGGTAGAACCAATACTGTTGGGAATCCCCAAGTCTATATTTAGCCACCCGCTCATGCCTGTTCGGCGCGCGCCGGTGTTTGTTGTAATCGATATATTACGTACATGCGGGAGGCTTGCGACCCCAGGCTGAATGACTCGGGTGAAGTGGGACTATATTTACACTCTACCTCGTGGCGAAAGTCGGTAGAATCATTGAGGCGTATCAGTCGCTATTGAGAGAATGTACAACCGCGAGTCGGTTTAAACGCTGTAAAGAAACATACTGACGTTTATTTGCACAAAGGGAAACCTTTCATATTTTCACCATACTGACTTGAATAAAGACGTAAAATTGATCAAGGAAAGAGCGTGTGGCGTCGCGTATTTGACTTTTGTCACGACTGTGTAGGTCCAGAGACCATATAAAACTATTATATGGTCTCTGGTAGGTCACTGTGCGCTTGTGCGAGTCTGTCTTTGCTTATGAGCATTTAAAACAATGAGCCTGAATCTTTTTACGAAAGACACCTGGCAACAATATATTTCTTTCGCAGGCAATTTCATTTTATTCAACAGTCTGAAGCATAACTACTTTTTTCTAGAATTTTCGGGTACACATTTTATTTAATCGATGAAAATTGCCAGCCCCGGGGCCCTGACTATCAAATAGTCGGCACCTGAGGTGAGGAGTCACTATGTACCGGAACACGGAGTCACTATGTACCGGAACATGGAGTCACTATGTACCGGAACATGGAGTCACTATTTACCGGAACACGGAGTCACTATGTACCGGAACATGGAGTCACTATGTACCGGAACACGGAGTCACTATGTACCGGAACACGGAATCACTATGTACCGGAACATGGAGTCACTATGTACCGGAACATGAAGTCACTATGTACCGGAACATGGAGTCACTATGTACCGGAACATGGAGTCACTATGTACCGGAAC